TATCATTAAATATATTTAATTTGGGTCTTGTTAACTGTAATTTTCAAAGTACGGATGATAAGCCTTAGTCGCTTGCATCAGACTTGTTGAAATGTTGTTATTCTTTCATTCTTTCATCAAATTTATGTTTAATCCTGTTTTTCCAGTCCTTAACCTGAAGTATAATTTGTATGTTACCCTGATACTGGCATTGTGCTCCAATACCTCTTTTGTTTTTGTTATTTAATAATTATTTTACTTAATCTTCAAAAACAACAGTGCTTTTCAGAACCAGATCCTCAAAAACATACCCAATTGTTCATACAGGATGTGCTTGTTTATATTAATTTTAATATTTGATCACACTTGCCCCTATGTAACAAACTTTCAAATTTTTTCAGGCTGTTTACAAATCAGACCTGGAATGGCTGAGAGGCATTGGATGGGTTCCTATTGGTTCCGTGGAAGTTGAGAAAGCCAAGAGAGCTGGAGAAATCCTCAGTGACAGAAAGTATCGTCAACCTGCAGACAAAATCAAATTTACCAGCGTGACTGATTCCTTGCCCATGGTTTTAGCCAAGCAAAATGCTGAGATCATGAACAAGGTGAGGTGAACAGTTAATAGAACTTGTTCATGAGGTGAAAAATTCAAAATACAAAGTAAAACTAGAAGATTGGGAATTTAAGAGAAAATCAATGTCCAAATTCAGCCCTTGTACAGGAAAGCTGTTCTCTCAGGGCTCAGTCTGAAGTGAGCTTTTTTTTTTTTTTTTTTTGATAAAAATCTACAGACATAAGTCCCTTAAATCACAGATTTTCCAAGGGTAATGCTGCATGATGAACAAGTGATGAGGAAATACCTGAGGTTCTTTGGATGTGAGACTTCTGCAGCATATCTCAGACCTGGAGGGTGAATGTCACTAAGTACCTCCTCCTTTATAACAAACATAATGAAACAACTTATACAGAACAATAAATAAACTTTTCCTCCTATGGCTGTTTCTCCACAGTCCAAAATTGCTGCACCATCTTAACCTGAGAAATAATGAGGAGGAACAAAGTTTCCTTCTTGAGCTGTTCAGAGAGAAGCTTTGCTGAGTCAGGGTATTAGAGCTTACTGGAACTACCCATAGCAATTTGTAAAATAATTGTAATTGTAAAATAATTTCATAAAGAACTGTTTGTGAAGGGCTTTTTTTCCTCTCTTGCAGCGCTTGTACACAGAAGCCTGGGATGCAGACAAGAAGTCCATCCATGTCATGCCTGACACACCAGACATTCTGTTAGCTAAGGCCAACGCAGCCAACATTAGCAATGTAAGGACATTTAAACATTTGCTAAACCAAATTCAGAGATAAATCAGCATTTCTTTAATCATAAAGTTGTTCTAAAAGACACAGTCTTGAAAATTTTGAGGGACAATTATGAAATGTAGAAACCCCATCTTTCAGAATATTAATAAGCAATTTTCTGTCTTCTTTTGTGCAGAAACGTTATGTACAAGCCTGGGAAGAGGCCAAAAAGAAAGGTTATGACATGAGAGCTGATGCAATTCCAATCAAAACTGCAAAAGCATCGAGAGATATTGCGAGTGACGTACGTTCTTCCTTTACATTTATTTTCAGTTACCTGAAAAACAAGAATATGTATTTTTATGATCAGTAGTAATAAGAAATTATGGGACATTCACCCCAGATTCACTTCTTTTTGTATTTC